AATCCTTGATCTCCCCCCTGACACCAAGGCATCTCTGCGCGATGTGGAGGCTCCCAGCGCTGGCCCAGCCCTGGCTCCCAGGTTTGTTCTGCCTTCTGCCCCAGCTTTGATCTTCCCAAGTCAGGTGCCTAACCTGTGCCGACCAAGACCAGCAATCCATAGCACCTCCCACCCCCAAAACACCCCCGCAGGATCCGGCGAGCCAAGGCGGTGGTCATTGCTGGGTGCCCTCCGGAGCTCCAGAGAATCCAGGGCAAATGGACGGCTGGGTCCCAAGACCGGGTGGTTGCCCAGGGACCGGCGAAGGTCCCGCTGCTGCACCTTGGGAACCTACTTCCCCTTCGGGGACCAAAGGCCGGGACTTCCAGGCTGAACGCTGCGAACGTGAGACAAGGTGTTGTTGAAAGAGAGAAGAATGCGCATCAGTTTCTTTCCAAGTGCGAATGGGCCATTTCGTTCTCACACGCTTTGAAGTTATCTGCTCTAACTTGACTCTCACGGAGATTGGAGAAAAGATTTCACTGTCCCTCCGTGGCCAAAGTCCCAGGGCTTGCGGTGGAACGCAGACTGGGGTTGAGAAGATCCGCTGTGGGAAGAGTCACAAAAAATCTCTGCTTCTTGGGACTTGATGAGCACATTCCCCCGCCTCCCGCCCTCCCAGCTCAGGGATCCGCGGAGAGCCCGCAGAGAGCTCTGGTTTGCGTGAATTCATTCCGGCCGAAGACTGCAGCTGCACTTCTGAAGTCAGACTCTATTTTAAAATGTCTCTAGACGTGGAAGTTTTGCTACAGGAAGTTAAACGCACACTAAAAAGAAGTTAAGGAATGCACCCAGAATTCCAATTTAATCCCCACGTTAAAACTTCACTGCACTCCCAAATAGTACAAATAGAACGTCTGTGTGCAGGCAACCTTTATGTAGGCGTGTTTTTTGTTGTTGTTTGAAAAAATATGCATTAATTTTCATTCGGCAAAGTTAGCCTTTCTAACTGCTGTGTTTTATTGGCAGAATAGAACTTGTTTTGGTGACAAAAGCTGCATTTACGTTGTTATCATAAAATATTTTGGAGTGGACCTCTCCCAGAGAAATCGAAACTCACTTCCTCAGCGAGGGCCTGTAATTTATGAAGATTTACAGGATTACTGAACCTGGACTGCTTTTCTCCCGGGGAAGAGAAGTGGTAGCTTACTTAGAAACCTCAATTCCAGACACAAAATGGAAAAATATGGCATCTATACAAACACATGCAAAACAAGCCAAAGTGCTCAAAATGCCATTTCAAAATCGCTTACAAAATTACCAAAATGAGGAAAAATGTCCTCTGACAGAATTAGATCAGTTTGGTGCTTTCTGAGACTGACCTTGATGTTTCTTGAAAAGTAGAAAATGTATTTAACCTTCTCACAAAGCACTATTGCCTCTAGGTTGACCAAAAAGTTTTGAATAGCTTCCTAACATCCCTCCACTAAAAATCAAACCAAAACGCATGCACCCCTACACAACCACCAACAAAATAACAAAAACCTATTTAGTGCTGCTGCTAAAGAGGAAAATTTTTCCATTTAATTTTTTATTTATTATTTAAGTATGAACCATTAACAATAAAAATTCTAGGAGAGCAGTAAAAAAATTTAAAATTCTATGAAAAAATTCTTCTGAAATGTTATGTGGTTTTGTGAGTTCATCTCAGATGGTTTTTCACGTTTTATAGAAAAATAACTTCTGACTTTGGTGCTACATTTAGATTAGAAAGCCAAAATAACTTTCAACCTTTTTTGTGGATTTGGTTACAGAATTAACTGGTTATTTGAATAGTTCGAAGGTAACAACAAAAATAGTGGCATATATAACTAAAATGATCGATTGTCTGCCTATATTCATATGGATATTAATGAGGCAATTTTTGTGTAGACAATAATAACTTATGGGAACACTTGAAAGTTTTCAAAGAAGCATCACATTTTTATTTGAGAATATATTTATTGTGACGGTTAGCACATGACTTTTCTCCAAAAAGGGTATAATTTTATTTACCTCTTATGAACCTGCACTTTCCCCTCATAGAGTTTGCCGACGTTTTACTGTGATCTTTAATCACATATGGGAGGAAGGGGACTTACATAACTGCATAATGTGACAGGCTTACACACATAGGCAGATACTACCCTACACTACACTCGATTAAAATAAAATCAAACGCTTCCATGGATGCAATGATATTTACTTTATCTGACAGTAATTAGCTAAACTGTCTGGAACGAAAAACCTATTATTAGTTGCGCACAGCCCCGGGATTGTAAAGATCCCCGTTTCAGACAAGAGAATGCAAATGCCCCAGAACACAATCGTAACTGGATACTCCTTGGAACCAGATTCCGCATTCTGATACGTGACTGGGGAGAACCCGCGGTGGCTGTAAGGTAACTACTGCTCTGGGGTTTTCCTCCTGGGCAGGGGGGCACTCTCTCCAGGCTTGGGGAGGGCTGGCTGCAGCTTGGTGCAAAAAGGCAGGCCACCTATTTAGATGAGATTGGCCTGGTGAGGATCCCAGCTGGGGAATTCAACATCCAGGAAACCAGACCCACCAAAAGCAGGGGAGGGCAGCCAGAGATGACTAGAGCCCCTGCTTAAGACCAAGATCAGGTAGAAGTCTCCCCCGCCTCCCGTTCTCCTCCCCACCCCACCCCCGCCCTCGCCGCCATAGATCAGCCCTGCGCAGGGCTGGGTAGGAGAAGAGCATTGGGGAACGGGGACCGCCTGCTGAGCCCCAGCACCTGTGCTCCCCGTTCCGGATCCTACCGGCCTTCCGCCCTTCGACTCTGAACTCGTCCCCAGGCGGCCCGCTGAGGAGCAACACGGTCAGGGGGCACAGGAGATAACCCGCCCAGGCCTGGCGCAGGGTCTCCGGGTGGGTGGGAAGGGGAACGGACTGAGTGGGCCTGCGGGTGGGGAGGAGACAGCCTTCCACGCGCTCAGGGAGGAGGAAGCAGCCTGACGGCTCCCGAGGGGGTGTGTGCCCAGCCGAGGCATCTAAGATGGGGATCTTAGAGATGGACTTGGGGAAAGCTTGGGAGCGAAGTGCTGCCGCCGAGAAGCAAGAGAATTTAGCAAGGGAAAATGCAGGCTTCGGTTGGGAGAGAGAGAGAGAGAGAGAGAGTCGTTAGCTTTCGTCTTTTTCTTTTGTTTTCTAAATCTTGAAATCACGAAAGAAAAGCACCCAGAGAAGCGTAAAAAAAAAATAAAAAAAAAATGAGGACCAGAGGGGAAGGGGCGGAGGAGTGAAGCTGGAGCGCAGCTTCGCTCTCGGACCTCGGCGGGCACCCGCACCGCGCACACTCAGGGGCTCCCGGCCCGCAGCGCCGCGCACTCACCCCCACCTCCTTCTCCATCTCTGCGCCCCGGCACTCCATCTGCCGCACAGCCTGGCGCATCCTCCTTTCAGCAGCATCACGGCCTGGTTTGGAGACCCCGGCCCGCCTGGGGCGTCAGTGGTCTGAGAACTCAAAGCTGGAAGGCTTGGGGTGCCCCTGTAGCTGCGGAGCGGTCTTCCTGGCTCCAGGCCCTGCCCACAAAACCCTTCACCCCCAGCCCACCGGCCACTGGCACCTAAGAACTCCCCCGCGCACGTGGCCGCGCTGCCGCGTCCCAGCTCCCGAGCTCCCCAGGACCTGGCTCCCCCACCATTTCCGCTCCCTCTTGAACCGCCCCGCCTCTCCCCACCTCCCAGCCGGCTGTTCTTTCTCTCCCCAGTCTCGGACACCCACTCCTTCTGCTGTTTGCTGGGGGGGGGGGGGGGGGGGGGGGGGGGGGGAAGAAGGGAGCACATGGCAGCTCTCCACCCTCATCCCCACTCCCATTCCATGCCTGCCACCGCTCAGCGACTTTGTCCTCGGTCCCTGCGCGGTCCACCCGCTCCTTCCAGCTGAGGCCGGTCTCCCCCAATTCCACCATCTCGACTGCCAAAAATAAAAATAAAAATAAAAATAAAAATAAAATGCTTGGGGCAGCTAAGGCCGGAGGGAGCATCAAGGTTGGTCGGGAACAGATCTCTGTTCTTTCAAGGCCAGCGCTATGCAGGGTCTTTCTTGCGCCCCCCGTTTCTCATTGGGCTGGGAGTCAGAGCAGCAGCGCCTATTGTCGGGAAGATGATCCCTACCAGTCTCCTGTATCTCAGGAGACCCCACAGATTCGCCTAGAATGCACGAAGGGGGCCGCACGAGGGCGCCAGAGGTGGGTGGGCTGGGAAAATTAGAGGCCTCCAAGGGTCAAGGTCTAGAAACTGGCCCCCAATTTCAATAGGCAGAAAAGACAATCTCCATGGCGGGTTTTGTGTTTTTTTGTGTGTGTTTTTTTCACCTCCCTTCTGAGGACAGATTCTTCAGCAAGACTGTGTGAAGCCACCGCGTGCGCGCACTCGGGCTTTGTCTCACCAGTGTAGTCAACAGACACTGTTTGACCTCTACACTGTTGCATAGCAGTAATTGACATGTATTTCAGCACTGAACATGTGTGGGGCCTTCCCCTGGCTCCTGGCATGTCTTGCCTCATTTATCCCTGGCAACAGCCCTGAAGAAGGTATTATTGTCTCCCTTTTGTAGACAAAGAAACTGAGGCTTAGAAACGCCCAAGGCCACACACTGACTAGGCTAGGATTCAAACCAAGAGTTGTGGGACAACCAAGTTCAGCAATGACTCCATCGTACCCTCTCTCACCTACCTGCGCAGTGCAGGTGCTGCAGGACAAATACAAGGGCCAATGCAACCTGGCCCCTGCCTCTGGGGGCTCATAGTCTACCTGGGTGGAGCAAGCAGGCAATATAGCTATAGATAGTACTAAGTGGGAAGTAATAAGTGGACGAATGTCCTTTACTAGCACACGCTGCAAGTTCAGATTCGAGATGAGCTCCCTGGCGAGGCGTCCAGGGGGCACGCTTTCTTGGAGGAGGTGGTATTTGAGCAGAGCCCTGGAGAACCGCTTTTGATGCACGCAGAGCTTGAGCAAAGTCAATGAGGCGGGAAGGGACACGTCGCTCATCTATAGATATATAAACCATTCTGCCTCCTTGGAGGGGATCTAGTGCGCGGTATTTATAGGCGAGGAAGCTCTCCTGCCCTGCAGCAGCTGGAAAAATCACGCTCCTGGGCCATCCAACCATCCTTCCTAGAGTTGGTTTTGCGGACAGAAAACCTCCCAGAACTGGAGCTGGCCGGGAAGGGGCGGCCAGAAGGGGCGGGAAGTGGTGCTCGGGCACCCGATTGCGGTGCAGATTCGCCAGCGGCAGCGACTCAGACTCGGAGACTGCACTAGTCCTTGGCTATTTCTGGTCGAGTCACTGCTCCCCTCGCAGGGGAAGTGGGGGCGTGGTCCGCGCGCGCCGGGACCAATGGGAACGGAGGCTGAGGCGAGAGCCCCGCCCCCGACATGACGCACGGACCTCAGACCCAGGCTTCACCACCGCGGGCCCAGACCCTGCGGTGGCTGTAACAAAACCCAGACTTCCCAGGTCCCGGCCAATGATGGAGCCGATTTAGACTGGAGCAGGACCGCGTCTGTCAAAAGCCCCACTCGGCGGCAGCGGTGGAGTTCAGGATCTGGAGAGCTGGAGCAGCGCTGCGCTGCCTCCCCGCCCCCGCCGGGATTTATTGAGTATTTGGGCTGGGAAATTAAGTGGCCCTGATGATGTTACCAAGCCCGGTCACTTCCACCCCTTTCTCAGTCAAAGACATTTTGAACCTGGAGCAGCAGCAGCAGCAGCAGCAGCACTTCCACGGCGCTCACTTGCAAGCGGACCTGGACCACCACTTCCACGCCGCGCCCTGCATGCTGACCACCGCCGACGGGACGCAATTCTCTGACGGAGGGGAGGAAGACGAGGAGGAAGAAGGGGAGAAACTGTCCTATTTGAACTCACTGGCCACGGCCGACGGCCACGGAGATTCTGGGCTCTGTCCGCAGGGCTATGTCCACGCAGTCCTGCGAGACTCGTGCAGCGGGCCGAAGGAACACGAAGAGGAGTCCGAGGTCGTGAGGGACCGGAGCCAAAGTGAGTAGAGGGGGGGGGGGAAGGAAATGCACCCGCACATCTGGAGCAATGGCGGAGCGCCCCCCAAGACCTGCCAGCATGGTGGTTGTCTGCCCCTTTAGCCCTTGGCTGGGGATCCTGCCTTCCCCAGGGCCAACGACAACTCCTGGCCAAGAGCAACTCCTGGCCTGGGGTGGAGAGAGAAGGACCGGGTAACCCTGACAATGCCTCCTCCCAGGGAGGAGTCCATGCAGCCCCCAAGGGAAGGGAAAGTCGGGATTGCTGCCCTCCTGTAGAGGAGCAATAGGGACTCAGTGGCTGAGTCCCGGCAAACTCTGTATTTCCGCTCTTTCCAAGAGCTAAAGGGGCAAGAGCTTGAATCTTTTCTGAGTTCCCTCTAGCATGAGGCTAGATCTCTGATGCCAGAGCAGTGGTCCCTCTTTTCAGAAAAAAAAAATTAAATAATAATGAGGTTGTGTCCAGCATCCACGGGGCACAGGAAGTTTGCTAGAGACCAGCAGAGTGATTTCCTCATCTTTCCTTCGAGCTCAGCGTCCTCGAACCCACAGCACCCGGCAGAGAGGAGAGATTGCGTGGGAACACAGTGTGTCCCGCAGACCACTCACACCCCTGAGGCGCCGGCCTCTTTTTTTTTTTTTTTTTTTTTTTTTTTAAGAATTCTTAACGTTTTGCTTTGTGTCCCAGGCAGTGCTGCTTCCGGCCCAAGGAAAACCGCGCCAGACTTAGTCTAAGATCCCGGCGCTCCCATCGGAGGGGAGGTGACTTGGGTAGGGAAATCAGATAACTGAATAAAACCTCCAAGGAAGTGTTGGTCTCGGAGGGGACACAGTGGAATCTTTTTCTCTTCCGCCCCCCCCCCCGCAGAAGGAAATTTGATCTGGCCAAAGCCAAGGCCTACCCTCCCTCTGACAGCTCCCCAGGGCCTAACATCGACTTGAAACTGTCGATATCAGTCAAATTTCCTTTCTCTCTCTAAGGTAGCACAGACAGCGTCACAGGGACATTTAGCCGCGAGCACGAATTAGTCCCTGGGCAATGCATGAGCGTTTGCACTTCCTTCAGAAAGATGTCCTTGCTGCTCTCGAATACCGGCTCCCAAATGCCAACACGCCCCACACCTTCAGCGATCCGTGACGGAGTGGAAGGCAAACGAGTTTGCAAACACGGTAGCTGTTATGTAGTTGCAATCTTGCATCCTGAAAATAGTCATTAGCGCGCTGAGCCGCGCGCATGTAATTCGGGGTAATCTCCTCTCTCGCAGATGCTCAAGTTCTAAATAAATGCGCACTAACTGTAACTATCTTCCCACCCCCATGGAACGTGCCTCAGGGGCGTTCTAACTGTACGTGGACGGAGCCACAAGCTTCCCCAAAACTCTATAGACATTTACAGCCGCATTCTGTGCGCTGCTACCAAGAAGAAGGCCGCGGTGCTCCGGGGTCGGAGCCGCGGCGAGGTCCGGCACATCGATAAGGGCCGCTGACGTTTTGCTTCTTCCGCAGAGAGCTGCCCGCTGAAGAAGCCTCTGGAGGCGGCGGGGGACTGTAAGGCGGCCGAGGACGGCGACAGGCCGAAGCCGCGCAGCCGCCGGAAGCCGCGGGTGCTCTTCTCGCAGGCGCAGGTCTTCGAGCTGGAGCGCCGGTTCAAGCAGCAGCGGTACCTGTCGGCGCCGGAGCGCGAGCACCTGGCCAGCAGCCTGAAGCTCACGTCCACGCAGGTGAAGATCTGGTTCCAGAACCGCAGGTACAAGTGCAAGAGGCAGCGGCAGGACAAGTCCCTGGAGCTGGGCGCGCACGCGGCCCCGCCGCCGCCGCCGCCGCGCCGCGTGGCCGTGCCGGTGCTGGTGCGGGACGGCAAGCCGTGCGTGGCGCCGGGCGCCCCGGCCTACGGCGCGCCCTACGGCGTGAGCGCGGGCGCCTACTCCTACAACGGCTTCCCCGCCTACGGCTACGGGAACTCGGCCGCGGCCGCCGCCGCCGCCGCTGCCGCCGCCGCCGCCGCCGCCGCGGCCTACAGCGGGAGCTACGGCTGCGTGTACCCGGCGGGCGGCGGCGGCGGCGGGGGCGGCGGCGGCGGCGGCGGGGGCGGCGGGGCCCCAGCGGCGGCCGCGGGGCTGCAGCCCGCCTGCAGCGCGGCCGGGGGCGGCCCCTTTGTGAACGTGAGCAGCCTGGGCGGCTTCGGCGGCGGCGGCGGCGGCGCGCAGCCGTTGCATCAGGGCGCGGCGGCCGGGGCGGCTTGCGCGCAGGGCACCTTGCAGGGCATCCGGGCCTGGTAGGGTCACGGCGGCGGCGGGCGCCCCACCGCAGCCTGGCTCCACGGAACTGAGTGCGAGGAAGGCTGGATCCAAGGGCCAACTGCCCTTGTTAAAAAACAAAAACAAAAAACAAAACTCGTCTCACTCTCTGGAGAGCCCCGAGCGCAGCTCACTGAAGGCCCGAGGAGGGGGCCCAGGGCCGGTGCGGAGACTTGTCTCCGAGTCAGAGAGGCCGGCGGGGTGCTGGGGAGGATCCTGGCCCCGACCTGGCCCCGATCGGAGTGCGAGAGGCCGGGAACCTGGCTGCCTGCCGCTCGGTTCTCCTGGAGCGAGAAGGCGTCTCTCCCAGGCCTCCCCGAGGCCTCCTCAAAGCGCTGGCGGAGAACCCAAAGACACACACACACACACAATAGCATGAAGGAGAGAAGAAGAAAAAAAAGGGCGTCGTGGCTTGAGAAATCGCCAAGCCCCGCGGACCTTGAGACCCCTCGGCGGGCCCGGAACGCCACACTCCACTCCATTTCCCTTTTCCAGCCGCCTGCCCGCCCTCCGCAGCAGCAGAGTCCTCGGCCTGGATCTCCGGATTGTCGGGGGTGGGTAGAAAAGAAAAACAGCGAAGTGAGATTAAAAAAAAAAAAAAAATCTGGGGGCTGAACAAATCCGGGACCTGGTGTGGCCCATGGAAGAAGGTGTTACCGGGTTCCTTTCTGTTTCGTTATTCTGTATTCAGCACATATAATATATATATATATATAAATATAACTATATCCACATGCCATGTACACACCCGCTGCCATACACTACAGGAGTCAATAAACAAGGTGCAATATTTCCAAACCATTCGCCGGCTGCAGCGTTTGCTTAGCGCCCCCCTTACCCCCCACACCCCAATGGGGAGGGATCCTGCTAACGGGGCGGGCGGGGGCAGACCAGGTGAGCAAGGGGAAGCGGTGTTCCTGGGAGGGCGGCCTATAGCAGCCTGTTCCGGCCTGCGCCCGTCCCCAGGCTGCAGGTCTGGGCTCCTCGTCGTGTCTTTGTTCATCCATTTCTTTCTACTCTCGAGGCGAGAATAGGTCGGAGCATCGTGGCCTTGTGAGGTCCGGGGCTTTGTCAACCCCTCCACCCCCACCCCCAGTTTTTACCCAGATGTTTGCGCTAGTGCGCGAGTCTGCTTTAGATTCAGGCTTAGAGACTGCCCCACCTGGAGGGTCGCCAGCGGGGGTGAGGGGGAGGGAAGGGAACGACCCCCCCCCCCCCAGGCCCAGCCTTGGGCGGCGCGGAGGTGGCTCCTTCTTTGGCTGCCGCCGGCGGGCTTACCACGGGGCCCGGGAGCGCCGCGCCCCTCGGCCGCCCTCCCCGCTCCCTCGGCGGCCGCGGCGGCTCCAGGCCGCTCCCTGTGCCTGTCCTGTCCCTGTCCCTGCGGAGAGAATGCCTGCGCGCGGGGTCCGCGCTGCCGCCCGGCCCGATTGTGAGCGTGCCAAGGCGGGTGAATGGGGAGGCCTCAGAGCGCCGCGCCATTGTGGGGCCTGGGCCCCGGCTGAAAGGCGGCCCCGGGCCGGGAAGGTGCGGAAAGAATGGCTTTTTTATCGGAGCCCCGAACAAAAGGTGTGGCAGGAAGGCGAGGTGCCCCCTGCGCGAACAAAAAACCCCGGCGCCGGGATTGACGTCCCCCCCTCCCCAGCGCCCCACTGCTTCCCAGAGCGGGGGCTTTGTGCATGCAGCCTGCGCGGCTTGCGGCGGAGAAATGCGCGGGGGGTTTTGTTCCCCACTTTTGTGCGCTGGGGGAGGGGCGGCGTGGGGGGCGGGGGGCGGCGGGGCGGGCGGCGGGGAGGGCCGCGCTGATGAGGCCCGGCCGGCCCGGGCGGCGGAGGCGTTCAGCGGGAGCCGGCGGCCTGAATGCAGGGTCATTATTGCTACAAGTTTAGCAATTTCGCCCCTACTGGAGGGGGGCGGGGGCCGCCGGGCTAGGGCGCGGAGAGAAAGAAGGAGGAGGAGAGGGAGGGGGGAGAAAAAGGTGGGGAGATAGAAAGGGGCGGCAGGCGAGGGAATCCTCCCAAACCCGCCGCTGACCGCCCAGGAGGAGGCTTGGAGGCAACCATCAGGGCCGAGGGGAGGCTGGAGAGGCGGTACCTGGGGAGCGAAGACCCTCCCTCCCTCCCGCGCTGTGCCAGAGGCCAAAAGACCCTGGGACCCAGCGGGAGTTACTGCACCAGACTGCCGGCCGGTCATGCAGCTCAGCTCCCAGCGGCCAGTTCCCTGATTTCTGAAAGGCCGTCCTGGAGCTGGGACACCGCCTCCCACCACCACGACGCCCCAAGTCTCTTTCCGAGAAGCCTTCTCTTCTGGAGCTGTTCTCTTTCATGAGTTGCTTAGGAGGGAATTGTCGCTTCCGAATACATTTCTCATGGCCTGCAGCTGCAAAGGACTCATCCATCCATCCATCCATCCATCCCACAGCATTCACTGAGCATTTACTGTTTAAGTATGTTCACTGGCACCGTTCTGGATGCTGAGGACAGTGAGAGAGAGAGAAAGGTGTCTGGGGGCTTATAGAGTTTATTTTCAGGGGCGTGTGTCAGGGAGGTAGACGACAACAACAAAAAATGTAAAAATTGTCGATATGCTCTAAAAAGGAACTAGAACCAAGTGCTGGAGAGAGGGCTCTTTCGGAGTAGGCGGTCGAGAAAGCCTTTTAAGCGGACGCCTGGATGGCGAGAAGGAAGCCCATCCAAGCTGTGCTTTGCTGCTGCAGCCTCCGTGCCTCCGCTATTCGGAAGCGGCCCTGCTCCATGTGGAATGCCCTGCGCCCCATCTGCCTGATGAGCTTTTGCTTCTCCTTCAAGGCCAGGCTTCTTTTCCTGAACCACCCAAGTGGAGGCAATCAGTCCCTCCGATGTGCCACCAGAGTCTTAGGTACTTTCCAATATCGCAGCAACAGCTTTATTTGTCTCCCTCCCAACACGTGAGTTCCCGGTGAGGTGTGGAGGGGCAGGCTGGCATCTTTTTCCTTTGGGACGGATAGCACAGTAGGAGATCATGGGGCCAGGCTCCTTTAGGGCCACCTCCCCTGGTGCTTCAGGGCCATGAGGATAGCCTCCTGGGGTAGAGCTGTGGGCATTGGGTGCTGGCTGCCAGGGAGAAGTGGGGCGGACTCTTCGCTCCCTGGGGCAGGAGCCAGAGCAGCTGAAATCCTGGTAGAAGACACGCAACCCAACCAATCAATCGCAGAGGAAAATCCTGCCTTGACTACCCGCCCCCTCCTCCCATGCCGCCTGGGGGCACGGCTTCTGTAGGAGGTTGTTGTCCTCTGCTCTACAGCTTAGAACCTGATAATGACCTTGACACCAGATCGCAAACATTAGGTGATGGGGAGGAGTTCGGAATAAGGAAGGAGGGTGGGGGCAGCAAAGGGGGTGGAGAGCTGGGATGTATAGGATAAACCCCTGTTCGACTTCCCCTTCATTCACCGGGCGAGGAGTATGGTAGGCGATGATGAAGATGATGCCTGCACACAGGGCATCATCTTCTAAGGTGGGATTGCAATGCCCGCACACCAGCTCTGAGAGCAGACACCCTCGTTCCGATGGGCGTTTCCTAAGTAAGCAACTTTCCCCCCAACCCAGTCCGTATTCTGCTGGCCGCGGCCTCTCAGGGCTCCCAGCCCCAGATGCCCACCTTCCTTGTCTTGTTTCCTTCTTGCCCACATTTATTTCCCTTCATTCTGTGTCGCCTCCTGTTCTGGAAAAGGAGGTGTGTGGCCCTCACGAAGGATACAGAGCCGTTCTGTGGGTTGGCTTCCCTGCAGTTTGCATGTCTTACAGCCAGCCTGGACCAGCCCTTCCCCACTGGATGCCCCTCCCCGGACACTGAGTATCAATAGCTCCCCGTCTCTTTGCCCAAAGACTTCTGTACTCTCCTTGCTGGGGTCCCAGGGCCCTGGCCTTTGGAGGGCGAGAACCCTTGACCAATACAGCTTCTCCTCCCTTAAGCTCCCTCTGCACGGGAAAGACTCTCCCAGGCCCAAGTGCTGCTTCCCTGGACTGTCCTGTAAGCCAGGGCGAATTGCAAAACCCAGCAGGCCTTCTAACGAGCCGAGCCGTGAGATTTTGAACAATCGAAGTAAATCGTCCCTTTGGGCTCTGGTTTCCGACTCTCCGATAGAGAAAAGGATGGACGATATGATTCCAGAGATTACTTTTGGTTCAGGCCTGAATGGGTGGTTAATCCCTCCCCACCCAGTGACTGGTGCCACATCAAGGTTAAGAACTGAATCGGCGCCGAGGGTGGAGGCGGTGGCATAGATTCTAGAAGCCCAGCTTTTAAAAAAAAATGTTTCCTTCAGAGCCCAATCTCGAGGGGTTAAGGGGCTGGACTCTGGGGTGAGGCTGCCTCCATTCTAACCTCAGCACCACCACAAACAGCGGCAGAGACCTTGGTAAGGTAGGAGTATCCGAACCTCAGTTTCCTCCTCTATAAAATGGGTATGCTCATAGCACCTCTCTCATAGGTGTGGGGTTTTTTTTTTTACTACAGAAAAATACACACATTTTAAGCATACATCTCAATGAATGCTTCCATAAGTAAACGCTCGTGTACAAATCACCTTGGCTTTGAAAATCCAATGAGATGGTCCATGTAAAAGCAGCGTATCAAGCTGCCTGGTCCGCATCAGACATTGGATCAATTGTTGCAGAGAAATCTATTCTGCCCTTGAGGCCTCTCCAGGCCGGGGTTTGGGGAACCGCAGACAGGCGGGCGGGAGGATTCAGAACCCCAACACTGGAGGCGCACGGCACGGGTCCGAGTCGCTGCTGGCCAGCCGGGGGCAGGTGCTTCCCCGGGCGGAGGCCTCGCGGGGCGGTGGAAGCCGATGAAGGGCCAGGGGGAAAGGAGGTTTCAGGCGGAACCTCGGGCCCCTCAACCGCTTCTCCCTTGAGGCTCTAAGCTTCCACCCCACAACGAACTGCGGCCGCTCCCCACCGGCCGGGCGGGGCCGGGCGGGGCCGGGCGGGGCCGGGCGTGGCCGGGCGGGGCCGGGCGGGGCCGGGGGGCGGGCCTTGCCTGGCGAACCGCCCGCGGGAGGCGGCTGGTTGGGAGCCTCAGCCACACGGGCTCCCTCTTCACTTGGGAGCGCAGGGCCCCCGGAGGGAACTTTCCCGGCGCCTTCTCCAAGCCGCACGGAGCCCCGGACGGACGGCGATTCCCCGCGACCAGAAGGTTCGGTGCTGGGCCGGAGCCTGGCTCCGGGGAGCGGGGAGGACGCGGAGCCGTCGGGAGCGGCGCAGGGGACGTGGGGCCGGGCGCCGCCTCCAGGCGGGCCTGGGCTGGCAGGGGCGCGGGGCGGGGGGGCACGGGGCGCCCCGGGGAGCCTGCCCGCCCGGGACGGGAGCCCCGGGGATCCTACCCGCCCTGGGATGGGAGCCCCGGGACCGGAGCCCCGGGACCGGAGCCCCGGGACGGGAGCCGCGGCGGGAAGAGCCGGCCGCCCTGACGGCCGCTACCTGGGCGCAGAGCCGGCCCGGCGCGGCGAGGAGGCGGGAGCCCGGAGTCTGGTGAGTCCGGAGGCCTCGCTGGAGCCCAGAGGAGGGTCTGGGGAGCCGCACTGGCCTCGAACCCACAGGCGCTTTGTGGAAAGGGCGTGCTTTGAAAACCCGGGCTGCAGGTGACATTGCTAACAGGGCAGCTTCTAAAGGAGCTTTTCGAACATGTGCAGAAAAGGTGAGAGAGCTCGCTGAAGCTTTATATAGTAAGCACCCTGAGACCAGGTCCCAGGTGAAGACACAGGACGTTTCCGCCCAGAGTCCCCTCGCGCTCCCTCTGTCACTCCCGCACCGCTCCTG